AGGTACTCAGAGAAGGCAATTGATTGTAACCTTAGATATTCAGGAAACTTTGAGAGAAGTGCTCATTTAAATTGTTCTAAGTATATTTGCAATGTAGCTACTTTAATATGTGAATCTCAGATCTCTGGGTGCAAACTCAGATTCTCCTAGTAGTTGCTTGTTATCACAGGGATCACCCTTGGCCTCCAGGACTTCTTTCTTTTCACCTTTAAAAATAGAGGTAATAATACTTATTTGGCAGTGTTGTAGGAACTAAATGAGCCAATGTTGGTGGTGCACCTGGCATGTCTAGGAACCCAGTAATTTTAGTTCCCTTTCCCACTCAATTTTACCTTTTCTTCAAGTCTTTGGCATTACAATGCATGTGATATAAACTATAATATCTGTAGGGGTCTTGTAAAACCATGGCATATGAGCAGCAATTCAAAGACCTGGAGATGTTTGCTCTGAATAAGTAAAGACCCACCAAAGAAATGTTGACTTCCAAGGTTCGGAGGAGAGGCTGGTGGCAGAGAGAAAATGACTTCCTCCTTTCTATTTTTGGATTCTAGCTCAAGCCGTCCATCCATACTGTTATCAACTCATGCCAGGCAATCGTCACTCACCTGGGCTACTATAGCCACATCCATATTGGTCACCCTTGACCTACTCCTGCCCTATCTACCTCCACTTCATTATCTACCCTGCATTCCAAATGACCTTTCAAAGCTAGCAGACACCCTTTGACAAAAGCTAAGCTCCTTATCACCTGAGGGTATTTGTGTCTATTATTCAGCCTCATCTCCCATCCTTCTAAGGGTTCCTGCCCACCTACGGTTCCCCTCCCACACACACACACTACACATACCTTGTATTTACCAAAACCCAAACATGTGAATTTCCTTAGAGATGCTATCTGTCTCACTGTCTTCATGCTTATCTGTCTGGAACAGCCTCTAGCTTACCCTTGAGGTGAAATGCTTGAAATCAAATCACCTTCTCAGAGAAGCCTTGTTCTGTCCTCTGACCCACCTTCCACCCACAGAATTAATTAATCACTCCTCTGCCCTACTTCCATATCTCTACTGCCATTAGCGTGTCATAGCTACGTGTCTCCTCTTCACTGTGAACTTCCTCACCACACACACTCTAACCCTTTCTCCAGTTTCGATAAATGCCAGGGGGTCACCAGGTCATAGCTCTTAAAACCTTACAACAATCTGAGCTGCCAGCAGGATGCCCAGCAGTAAATGTCACCATTGAGGTGCCTTCTTCCATGAGGGGTCACTATCTTCACATTATTATGGCATCTTCAAAAGATACCATCTATAATAACAAAAGCATAATATGCTAATTAGGCCAGACATCCTTCCAGGAAGGCCTACTCTTGCACAAATTTTGTGTATTGTGACTCTAGTAACTTATAAAAACCTACCTACTGAGTCCCATTAATTTGGAATTGCCATCATAAAGTGGAAGGATTAGATCAGAACAGAGATTCTCTAATTTAATGTGCACAAGCATCACCTATGAACTCTTGCTAAAATGCCAATTCTGATTCAGCGGGGCTGGGGTGGGGCCTGAGGTTTTGCATTTCTAATAAACTCCCAGGTGAGGCTGGTGCATCTTGAGTGGTAAGGATTTATAGATTATCAAATTCAGCTGTGATCTGAAGCCTGGGTTTAGGATAAAATTGAAGCAGAAGAACTAAAAAAAAAAAAAAAAAAAAAAAAAAAATCAGTGTTTTAAAAATCCAAGCCAAAAAAATAGTAATAATAAGTTTAATTATAATATCCACAATGAAGGAATGGAAAGTGCTTTCCAAAAATGGTATTTTAAGGTACAATTTCAGAAGTCCAAATACTGAATAAGGCAGAAAATGTAAACCATGTGTATGACCTATACACTTGTTTAAAAGTACTTCTGAATGGTTGATTAAAATAGTTGTTTTTAAAGGAGTTGGCAGACTATTTGTAGAAGTGGAAATTCAAAGCTACTAAAAAGCTGAAAAAAAAATAGGTTACTAAATGATAATTTCCAACTATTAAAGTCAAAGCTTTTGATTCGACCAGAAAAATAGTTAAGTGAATTACTTGCTTTTTAAAAAGAAATAGAATTCCTCCTCCAGAGGTTACTATGGTTTCATTTAATAATTTTGCTATTAATAAATACATAAAATGGGTTTGAAACATAATGGACACTAATTAGGAGGAGAGTCTCAAAAGGTTCAAATAATTTAAAAACTGAAAAATTGGTTTATGCTCCTCCAGTCAATGACTCATAAACAGAAAAGCAGTGGAAAATATTATTCACTCATGTTGCTGGGCAGTCAAGTGACAAAGAAGCATTTCCAGACCTTCCGTCTTAGGAAATTCTTGGCGAGGTATGAAGAGATAGAGATCTGGAGGACAGGGAGTGTATAACTTACCAGGCTGGAAAGACAGTGGAGTTAATAAACCATTTCAAGTGCAGGAGCCCATTCTCCTCTCATCATTTCTATTAATAAACTCCTACAGTATAAACATCTCTCATATAGAACCAGTGCTGACAAAAGACTCTAATCAATGGTACCAAGCCACAGACAATATCATTTTGTGATGGCCTTACATAAATGTAAGGACAGACCACAATATCCAAAGAACAATTTTATGGGGAAATGCCACAGCTGCCATCTCCCGTCACTGACAGATGTGTGCAATGTGTACGTACTATGCACTTGCTCTGAAAGCTGGGAGCTCCTGAAAGACATAAATATTGCTCTGTTCTTACACAGGTCCACTGATATCACAACTGGTTCCCAACTCCAGGAAGAGGGTATTTGCTTATTGACCAGAGACATGTAGATTTTCTCACAATAGTCTGCTGACAACCACAAACACACTCCTTACTGGATCCCAAAGGAAGATTCCCCCCCCCCTTCCTTGAACCAGCTAGACTCTACATGCCCATAATGAATCCCACCAGATGATGCCAGTTGTGGTTCTGTTCCATACTTCTACCATCTTGCCTGGAAATCCTCCAAACCCAGGGCCAGGAAACAATGATGATTATTACTGTTTTATATACCGTATTTTCCGGTGTATAAGACGACTTTTGAAACGAAAAAGAGTCAATCGAAAATTAGCCAGAGTCAGAGAGATGGTCTATTAAAAAAAGAACTGGTGTTGCCTCGGAAGTGGGGGGTAGTCTTATACAGCGAATATAGGCCTAAACATATGTTTTAACTGCAAAATTAGGGGGTCATCTTATATGCCGGAAAATACGGTATTAAATTTATTGGAGTGTCATCCTATATAATAAAAGGCTAATATGCAAATTGTCCCCTTTACTGGAAAGAAGTTCAATCAGGAGGTGGAGCAGGCCGGCCAACTGCCTGTTGCCCCACCCCCCCACCCCACCCAGCCCAATTGGGGCCAATTGGGGCAGGCCAGCCAGACTCCACCCATGCATAAATTCATGCACCGGGCTTCTGGTTGGTTAATAAAATCATATAGGTCTCAGGTGTACAATTCTATATCATCTGCATATTGTAGTGTGTGTTCATTACCACAAGTCAAATCTCCATCACCACTTATATTCCCCTATCCTCTTTTACTTCCCCTCTTCCCCTTTTCCCTCTGATAATCATCTGTGTTTTTGAGTTTTGTTGTGTTTTTGAGTTTTGTTGTGTTTCTTTTTTTTGGGGGGTGGGGGTGGGAGGGGGGATGTTTGCTTTTTTTCTTCCTTCACCTTTTTCAACCAGGCCCCAAACCCCTCTTCTGACAGTTGTCAGTCTGTTCTCTTTTTCTAGAAGTCTGTTTCCTTTTTTTGTGTGTGTGTTAATTTATTTTGTTCATTAGATTCCACATATAAGTGAAATCATGATTATTTCTAAAGAGATCAGGTTTACTTAATAGCATCTTAACAGATGGAAAAACCAAGAGCATTCTACATAAGATTACATGAGATTTGAACTGTAAATATAATATTATCAACAATACTGATTTTAGGATAAAGGAAAAAAAGAACATTTCTTTCCCAGTACAAATGTCCTTGATTTTTGTCCATCATCTAAGTCAGAAAAATAGAACTTAGTGATCTGCTCCCAGAGGAATGGTTTATTAAAATGATTAAAATATAAGCCCTGCCCCTACCCCCTAAAGTGTTATGCTTACATGTGTCATACTTTTTCCATTACGTAACATGGGTACAATTTATTCTTTGGAAACAATTTTTTAACTTTTTCCCCCATTTTCCAGCAGAAAAGATTAGCATGAGTCTTTGTCACTCCTAGAATAAGTGTGAAAGCTGATTAGCTAGTCAACTAGTGTTGTCAATGCCATGAATTCAGTCCAGGGAGTGACAAGGAAAACAGATTTGAACTTCTTAATCTTCATCCTCTGATCAAATTTGAACAACCAAACCTATTTTCTCAAACTTATGTATACATAGGAATTACTGGGCTTCTCCCCAAATTGCACTGAGTCAGTCAAAGGGTAGCCTGATGTCTCTACTTTTTAACCATCACCCCATTTGGTGCTGATGCAGGTAGTCCTAGACTTTGCTTGGGAAGACTCTTGTAAAGTGGCTATGTCCAAAATTACATGTGTTGGGGACACAGATGAAAGTAAATGCAGCTTTTGGCAGAGTTATAGTCCCCACTGAGCAAAACACTTAAAGAATGATCACCTAGGAATACAAACAATATATAGGACAAATTAAGGAAAAATATAGTGCTGACTTAGATGTAAAAGTACCTGATGAGAAAGAAATAATGCACTCTTTTTACCCAGTTCTTTGCCTTAAAGACTTTCCTAATTAAAGAACCCAGAGAAAAAGCTGTCAGTTTTGTCCAGAATTGCAGCAGTTGGTTTAAGCTCAATGCATCAACAGTTCCGGGAACTGTTGGACTAGAGGTATAAATAGAAAGCAGTAACAGAAGCAATATATCAAAGCATTAAAGCAAAGTATTTTAAACAATTTATAATCTTGGAGTGGGGGGAGAGGAGTGGTGGGTGTAGAATCAGTTTTGCCCTGCTTACTTGTATCACAGCTGTGACAATCAAAGGAAATGTCTGGATATCCGGATGTTCCTTGGAAATTCTGATCTCGGTGAATTGAGAAAGGATGTATGCAGGAAGTTGATCTGTACCTCTCTTTTCCATCTGCTGTTTTATCAAGGCAGCTCCATATTTTAGAACAAGAATTAGCGATAGGTGTTATTTCCAGGACAGGTGGTGGCTTACAGGTGGGAGTTCGGGGTGAGGGAGGGACTGGAGGTAGGGAATGAGGTTACAGATGGGCTGTAGTGAGGACAAGCCAGAAGAGGGAAGGCAGGGAATGCTCCCATGCCCACCTTAGACAGTTTTTCTGAGACTTGTTGCTCCTTGAGTGATTGAAGCAGGAGTTGTAGGGAGAAAGGTGATGGAAAGGGTGAAACCGGGCCCTTGATGGCTAGCTTAGGTTGAGTTCCCTCAAAAACATACTGGGACAAGGATATGGCGGAAGTAAAGAGTTGATTCAGCAGGTGATCTCATGTTACTAATATGGAGAAGTAGCGACCAATCCCTCTGGGGAACTCTGACTAACAGTAGAATACACTTCAGCATTGTCCCAACTAAGGGGTGAGGCAGTTGGGTTATTTTCTCACCAGCTTCCCTCAGTGGCTGGTTGAGGGAGGCTGCCAGAAAATGTTACCTCCTAAGCATTTCTGATCTGCCCCAGAGAAAACCCTCAGGGAAAGGATCACTGGAGCTTAGAAATGTGAAAGCTGAGATGATATGGGTGGGACGCTGACAGTAAGTAGTACAGTGGAAGACACTGGATGGACTATCAGTGAGACAAAGATTGGGATATCACGGATGTTCCATTTGCATGTAAAGGATTAAAGAATGTCTTCTAGTGAGAATAGGGTTTGAATTTAATTCATTTTTTTTCTATTTTAGAAAAATGCTTTTTGTGGTCAATCTGCCCATGGATTTCCCTGTGGAAAAAAACCATAGTCAACTGCATAATCTTAATTATATAATATAAAATAAAATAAAATAAAATAATATAATATAATATAATATAATAAATATAATATAATATAATCCTACCTATTAAAAGAGAAACAAGCAACTTGACTGCACCTTCCTTAGGCCCACAAGCCCGCCCTCCAGCCAATCAGGGTGAGAATGCAAATGAATCCAACCAAGATGGTGGTTAATTTGTATATCCAGGCCAGAGCAAGACTGAAGACAGTAGAAAGAACACAAGTGCTTCAGGGTTGGGGAGAAGGGAGGAAAGCAGGCGGGGCAGGGAGAAGGGAAGGAAGCAGGTGGAGCAGTGACCTCAGCAGGAAAAACCCTATTGCAGGAATCTTCCTGCAAGGAGCATCTAGTATAATAATATAAGAGTTTTATCAGCAACTGCCATGGTAGAAAATGGAAGCCACGTTATTTTTGGTTTGACTAAATAGCTCCTGCAATATCAGATCATTTATAACCATAAGAAAGAATTATGCTGATAACAGTAATATTTAATAACAAATTAAACTGCTACTTAATAACATGTTTTTAAAAATAACTGAAGATAGCCTCTGGGTAGTTGCCTAGTAGAGAGCTATTACTTCCTCCCAGAAGAGCTGCCTGCTTAACATTTTTACATTTTGTTTCTCCCATAATTAGCTTTATAACTGTAGCTTGGGAACAATTTATTTCAGCTTCTTCCTTCTTTCATTTACTTATTTTATTGGTGTTTACTTGCTTTTAGGCTGAATTAGTTGGGGAATTAAAAATCATCCTTGAGTTCCTCTGGGCTCCTGGTTTCAATCTAGGCTTGGAATGGAGATCATTCCAGGCTTCCAGCCTGTCCCACAGCTTCTCACTGGTGCAGCTGGGCAGCCTGACTGTTGTAATATTACTCATTTCCAATAGGTGTGTGTAAGGCCTGGGGGGAGGAAGGCTGGCTACTCGGCCACCTCTCTCGGTTTACCAAACTACCTGCCAACGCAGCTTGGGGCTGAGACAGATAGAACAGGGAGATAAATCTGAGGAGGCAGCTCAAATAACCCTAAGCCACACTTGAGAGTACCCCAAGAGGATGCACTGAAGGAACAAAATTCAGATATCAGATCCCCCTAAGTGGAAATTTCCCAAAGGACTCCATTTATCACTAACTGCTTGTTTCCAATGGAAATTCCCCAAGATACTGAGGGGCTTGGTAGAGAGCCGTATCATTTGGAGGGCTGGATTTTAGAGGATGGGTAATCACGTCACAAAAGCCAGATCTTAGCAAGAAGTCCCCATAACTGCCTACAAAGCCAGAAGGCTTAAAAGCTGATATATTAGAAATCTAAGCTACCCTGATACCCAGGCATAAAGCTGCCTCAATAAACCAGAATGTATAGGAATTTGCTTTTCAGCTTCATTTAATTTCTCTGGTTACAAAGCCTTCCCTTTAAACACTTCTTTAATTTTTTCCCCATTGGCTTAACTTAAGAAAAAAAATCTAAAGAACAGACACATTTTATTTATTATTGGAGTAATCCCAGTGTTTAAAATGAATCATTCTGAACATACTTTTCACCATAAACTGTTTTTAACACCATTAGAGAAGGAAGTAGAATGTTAGACTCTTAGTAGACACTGATGTCAATTTATTTCCTGATTTTTTTTTTTTTTTTTGTCCTTTCTTTAAAACTCTAGGTAATTAACGGTTGTGGTTAAGTGAGGTTATGATCAATTGAGGTTTTGCTGTGGTAAATGTAACCTATGTTCATTTGTGCTTGCTTATGGACTTCTTTAGATGTGATTTTAAGCTTTTTGATTTTGTTTTGGTGGGTGTATTGATCAAGGTGACATTGTAAGGTGCCTCAAAGGTAAGGATCTGACTTTAATTTATGCGCTGAATGTCTACTTCCCGACTGCGTGCCCAGCACCTGACTTCATTCCTTTCCGCCTTCCCATCTTACACTGTTGAGTCCCTGAGGGATCCCTCAGTACATGTGTTTGGCAGACACACAAGTGAGCTGCCAAAACTGCCCTGTGGGGTCCGTGACTTGTCACTTGATTTCTCTTTTATTTGTGGTTCTCATGAACATCTGCCCAAGTCCAAATGCTGCCCAGACTGCTTGTCTGCCTTCTGCTAGAGAGATTCTTGTTTTCTTCTTTCAGTGATCACAGCATCTATGGATGTCCATCATCAATGGTCAGCCCCAAAAGAATGGTCCACTGTCCACATCCCAACCCTGGTGAGACAGGGGGTGAATGCTTCAAAAGAAGGAGATTATTTGACCCCCTTTAGAGCTTCCTTGATGTATAGATGAGATGGACTAATATTTAGTCAAGCTTTCTTAACTTACTAAAAAAAATTTTTTTTTAAAGGCTTCTTTTATCCCTTATTCCTGAAGCCAAATATCAATATACAGGGAGTCCCCGGAAAGTGTGTACACACTTTATTAATTGCGATGTGTTAAATCTGAATAGAAAGAAACATCAGTTGAGCCAGCAGCTATAAAGGGTGTGTACATTTTTTTGGACACTCTATATGTCTTAAACTTAGAAACACTACTTGTTTGTTGGCCAGTTACAGCACATAGACGTGTATAGTATTATGTGCCCATCACCCGTACCTTCTCCTGGAAACTATGTCCTTCTCCCCTCCCCCATCACATAGCCACAGTGGAGGCTGCCTGCCTGCTCTTTCCCAGGGACACACAGGATTAGTCCTGAAATGATCACTGAGTGTTTCAGTGAGCTTTTTGTATTGGAGCTGGGGAAAATAGTCTATTTCCATCTGATGCCAGAAGGTATGAGGTATAAACAGGACAGAGAAACATGGATGAGGGGCATGGAGAGAAAAGGAAAGAGGTGTATGTTCAAGTACCGGATTCTATTCTCTGTCTTTCCCTTGGTACCTGGCTGGCTGCTCAACCTTGCCCCCTGCTCCTATCATGGTTTTCTCATCTTTGCTTAAATAATTCAAGTCTTGAGCATTTCTTCCCTCAATTTCCAACTCCATCACACCACATGTGGAATTGGACCAAGCCATACATAGAATTGTGAAGATTGTACCAAAAATCTTCCCTGAAGTCATTTGAAAGCAAAAGCCACAAGAGAGCAGACTGGATGCTGAGGTGGGACTCTGTTGCCTATTCTATCCCAGTTGACTATGAGGGATGGGGTTGTGAGGTTGGGCAAAAAAGTGACTGACATTTTAAATTTGGGGTTTTAGCCTGAGTTGTGTGTTCTGTTTTGTTTTCACATGACATAAATGAAGGACTTAGATCAGAGACCCTAGGTTGATTGGAGATGAGGGAAAATATTTTTAAGACTAAGAGTTAGACACAGGCTATATCTAAAAGAGCTAAGTGAATGTCATTCTAGAGAATGTGTACTTTATTCTCTAGTCTGCACCAACTCAAAGTATGGTTGCCCATGGACCACATTATCATCATCATCACCTTTCAAAATAAAGAATCTGGGACCTATTAAATCAGAATCTTCACTTTGATAAGATGTTCCAATTATTTGAATTCACACTGAAAAAAGCACTGGTTTAAGAAATGTGAAGTCATTTAAAAAAGCTCTAGCCAGTTTTGGCTCAATGAATAGAGCACTGGCCCTCTACTGAAGGGTCCCAGGTTTGATTCCAATCAAGAGCACATATCTTGGTTGCAGGCTCATGTGAGAGGCAACTAATTGATGTGTCTCTCATATCGATGTTTCTCTCTATCTCTCCCTTTCCCTTCCACTCTCTCTAAAAATCAATGGAAAAATATCATTGGGATTAACAGAAAGACAAAAATAAAAATAAATTTTCTTATGGGGAAGCATCAAAAATACATTTGTGCTTTGGAAAGGTGATTATAGAGGATGGATTAGAGGACTAGAGGAGAGCCTGAATATTTTAATAGTTTTGGCATGAAATTATATGGGTACAACCATCAAAATGATATGGGGAGAAATGAAATATTCAGAATTAAGACATGTAAAAGGTAGCATTTGGTTAATTAGATATAAGGTTGGGCAACAAGAGAGGGGAGGTTTCTAGATTGTCTCTCAGGCAGGCTGATGTGACAAATGTTGGTATAACCCTCCTTAAGCTCAGGAATACATAAAGAAATACAAGTACAGAAAGGAAGAATTATAATTTTAGTTTTAAACAGGTTGACACCTCAGGTGTGCTAGGAAGCAAATGGAAACATTGGTTGGAAAGCTTTACAGCATCATTGTTAAAATTAAATAAGACATTGCAGCAAAAAGGCATGGTAAATCATAAAACACTACACAAATTATATATATATATTTTTTTCACACAAATTATACACACACACACACACACACACACACACATATATATATATATATATATATATATATATATATATATATATATTCACATACATATATCATATACATACTGTATTTTAAACCACCTGTAGGTTTTTGTCCTTTATGTTTTTTTTAATATTCTGATTTAATAAAGGTAAGAAATTATTAACAGGCTCAGTTGGTTGGAGCATCATCCCATGCACCAAAGAAATGCTGCAGGTTCCATTCTGGTCAGGGCACATACAAACCAAGGTTGTGGGTTGGATCCCTGGTCAGGGTGCGAACAGAAGGCAACTGATTGATGTTTCTCTCTCACATCAATGTTTCTTTCTCTCTAAACCCCAATAAAAACATATCCTCGGATTTAAAACAGTAACATAATGTTAATATATTTATTTTAC